CTGCTTTCACCCTGACTCCCCACCGCCCCACCAATGCTCCTCCATCCTGATCTCCAGCCCCCGCTATTACAGTCCTGCTTCTCTCGTGCCCTCCCATCGTGTAGCTTTGTGCCTGATGACAGGGCCTCGACTTTCCAAAGAGCTCAGCTCTCTTTTAGGCACCAGACTAAGTATCTGCTTTGCATGGGGGGGGCCAGGCTCTTACGGAAACTTGGCCTTGATTTTAGGTGCTGAACAGCTGTTACCTGGCCCTTGAACACTTTGGAAATCTGCCCTGTTCCCTACCCTGACCTCATGTGCAAGAGGCTACAGATCTGCTCTTATTTTACACCTCTGTGCATGGGTAGATGGCAACACAGGGCAGGGGAGAAGCAGAGGTGCTGATGGACTCGCCTCGCTGAGGACTTCGTGGGGACTCACTTCCCTTATCTCTCCAATCCTGAGCTCCAGAGGTGACCTAGCAGTTCTATGGCTCCCCCTCGCCCCTCCTGTCCCTGAGTCCCCCTGGGGCGTTTATTTGATTAACTCACAGTAACATGCCCCTGTGGCCAGTTCGATCGATCTCTCTTACCACTGAGCCTTAATCTTTGCTCTCACTGGAGCCTCACGTTTATTTCCTTCTCAGTCGGCTGCTGAGATGAATAAGGGGCACTTTGATTTTTTTCCACTTCACCTTCTCAGGGCCTCCTGCCCACAGGCCTGGGACAAGGCCATGTCACTGGATCAATTTAATCCCAGTGTAGACAGATGTCAGGGTCTGGCTTGGAAGAGCTGCTGGAATCAATAATCTCCTGGCTGGCGCTTCAAGGGGAAATTTCTCTCTCACTCCCCTCTATTAAAGCACCATATCTGGCTGTTTCCCCTGCTTGCAACGCAAGGGACGTGGCCGGCTGCTTCTCTTTCCATCAGCGCACACGTCATCCCGCTGAACTGTACGAAGACATTCGGCATAGGTCTGCATTGGAAGGGAAAGTCTAAACTATTTGTGCGTATTGCGGGGGGAAACCTTTGTCCTTCACAAGTCCCTCCTATCCCAGATCTCTCAGAGCTTCGCCATAGGAGTGTGCTAAGAAATCGAGAGGGGATGTATTTGGAAAGGATACTGTGAGGGGGTGGGGAGTTTGGGGGGGCTCAAAGGGGTGGTTGCATGCAGGGTGGGGCATTCAGAGTTATGTTACTGGTTTAATGTGGCAAGGGGAGAGGGAGTTTGTTGTTGCAGAGAACAGCACAGAACTGGAGCCCTTGGCTACGTCTACACTGGCATGATTTTCCGGAAATGCTTATAACGGAAAACTTTTCCGTTAAAAGCATTTTTGGAAAAAGCGCGTCTACATTGGCAGGATGCTTTTCCGAAAGGCACTTTTTGCGGAAAAGTGCCCGTGCCAATCTAGACGCGCTTTTCCGCAAAAAAGCCCCGATCGTCATTTTTGCGATCGGGGCTTTTTTGCGGAAAAGAAATCTCTGCTGTCTACACTGGCCCTTTTCTGGAACAGTTTTCCGGAAAAGGACTTTTGCCTGAACGGGAGCAGCATAGATTTTCCGGAAAAGCACTGATGATTTTACATGAGATCGTCAGTGCTTTTCCGGAAATTCAAGTGGCCAGTGTAGACAGCTGGCAAAAGTGGCTGATTTTCCGGAATAAGTGGCCAGTGTAGACACAGCCCTAGTGATTGGTGCCCTGGTGACCAGCAGACCCCGCTCAGAGGACACAGCTGGCTCTGGCTAGATGAAAGATAACGGGCAGGGGAGGGGCTGTTGCTGGGGGATATTGGAGGCTCTGCTGGGAGAGAAGGGGGCTTCTGGTCTGGACAGGGAGCAGAACAGGTCGAGCTCACCTGGCTGCAGGGGAGACCCAGACGTGCTGGGCTGAGGAAGGCCAGGTGACAGGCCTGAGGGATCCTGTGCTGTGTTCAAAGCTCAATAAACCTCCTGTTTTGTGCTGTCTGAGAGTCGTTCTGGCCCGGAGAACAGGGCTGCACTGTTCTCCTGTTTTGTGCTGAGTGTCGCTCTGGTCTAGAGAACAGGGGGGCGCTAATCCCTCTGGGAGTGGAGGCTCCAGGGGTCCAGAGGGAGGGGACTCCCCCCAGGTGAGAGTGGGCCCCCCAAAGAGGGTCGCCACACTGGAATGGACCCCCTGAGAAAGGGCTGTCTCATTGCTGCTGGACTGGAGTGGGCTCCCCGAGAAGGAACTACCGCACTGGAAAGGGGGGTGTCACCCGGGGACCAATGGGCCGAGTGTGGGCACAGCCTGTGAGCCGTGACAGATACAAAGGAAATAAGCCTCCAAAGAACAGAGAATGAACCTGTGGAACTCCCTGCTACTGGACACGATTGAGGCCAATATCTCAATGTAAGGCAGAAGAGGATCACACGCTAGTGATGATAGTAATTAGGCTAAAAATTACAGGCACCATCAACCTTATGGCTTCAGAGCCTACGGCTGTTTGTTGTCTGGTCAGGAAGAAACAGCCACCTCCCTAGGGTGTAATGCTGTGCAATTGTCCGTGTGCCCGGTAGGACTGGTTTGCATTCCTCCTAAATCCTGCTGGGGAGTTTAGGAGGCAGAGTTCTAGGATATCCCAGGCCCTTCCCTTCCATTCACATTCTCAATCAAAGCTTTTAAACAAACCGGTGGGTTTCTAATATGCTCATAGACTGATTCCCATGACTCAGCGAAGAGACATGGCAGGATATAACCCAGCTGCAAACGGGTGAGGTGATACCCGAGTCCTGTCCGGATACAATATCTGCATCTAATCTGGGATCCTCAAACAGTGTCCGTGGCTATGAAGTGGATCTCTAGGGCTCTAGTATCCACTGCCAGCTTCTCTCCTCCAGGGGCATCCTCCTACACTGCTCGCTTCTCCGCTCCTGCCAACGGGGAGAGACTGGTGCAGGGTGCCGGTGCGGGGGCAATTGTCCAGGAGCCTGGGTGATTTAAAACGGGCCAGGGGGCTGCCACAAGCAGCACAGCAGAGGCTTCCTGCTCCCCATCGCTCCACACTGCTCACAGAAGTACTGAGATCCAACTCCTCAGCTCCCATTGGCTGGGAACTACAGGCATTAGTGCAAAGAGATCTCTGGCCTCCCCCTGCCTAGGAATTGGGCTGGTTGCTTTCAGGGGGCCCACCAAGGTAAGTGCCAACCCATTCCTCCAAACCCCTGCCCTGCCTCTTCCCCTGAGTGCACCATGTCCTCTCTCCTCCCTGCCATCCCTTCCAGAGCATCCCGCACCCCCCCACATAGCTGACCACGTGAGAGACTCTAGGGCTCTAGGAAGGCCAGGGAGGAATTGATTGGCAGGGCTGCTGGCAGGCAGGAGGTGTGAGATGGAAGGGGAGAGGGGAACTTGGTTGCCGGGGTCCGGTGCTGAACACCTGCTAATTTTCCCCCAGCGTGTTCCAAGCCTGGAGTACCCATGGAGTCAGCGCCCTGGCCTCTGTGAAATGGGGATGTTTCTTCCCTGCCTCATGGAGCTGCCATTGGGGTAAATACATGAAGGATTGTGAGGGCATTCTAAGGGTTGCGATAGGAGCCACGTGCTTGGGGCAGGTGCTTCAAGAAGTGGTGCTGGTGTATCAGTGGGCTCCAGACTGGGAAGGCTTAGGAAGGGTGGAGGGTTTAGCCCCAGTATCCTAGCACATGGCATGATACATAGCAGTTCCCCTCTGTCCCCCGGCATCCCTAGCGCCTCAATTGACTGGGATAGTCCCCGGTGGAGCTGGTTGGAAAAATTTCAGCTGAACAGTTTTCCATCTGAAAACGCAGCTGTCTCCGAGTCAAAACCTTGTGCCAGGGTGTGACAATTTCAACCACACGTTTAGCGGGAGAAAGCAAGAACTGTTCCGGCTTCCTCATTTCATTGGCTAATGTCAGAATATTTTGCTGTGATGAGGTACACGTTTGTCTTTGTTTAACTTCATTTTAATTCAGAATATTTTGCTGTGATGAGGTACACATTTGGGTTCAACTTGTCTTTGTTTAACTTCATTTTAACGTTGGTATTAAACTAGAATATGAATTTTAATTTCTCATGTGTATTTTATATTCACTGCACTGCCAGCAGCGCTGAAACGAAATAGTTTTACCCAATTTGAACTGAAATATTTCATTGTTTCCAAATCTCTTTTTTTTTCCTGGAATTTCCATTCCACATTACGTTGCTTGAAATTTCAACTTTCCATTCAGGATGCAAACTATCTCTAGTTACTGCCTTCTGTTACAAGCTACTGTGTACAGAGGGGGTCCCAAACCCAGATCTGAACAGACCCTCTGACCTTGATGAAGTTTGGAGCCAGATGTCTAAGACTTGCACTCATTTCTGGTCACTCTTAAATAACTGCTCCTGACCCAGGATGGGTGCAAGTCAGTGAGTGCTGTAGAAAGCGTGTTTGATTTGGAAAGCAGAGGAGAGTCCCAAAGGGTGGATGATGTAACCTGAGCGTGGGTGTGATGGGGTGGACTAAGCCCTGATATCCCCTACAGGGGGCCGGAGGCCTTGCCACACCCCATCCCAGAGAGAGGAGCAGAAGAGAGGTCCTCCAGGCAGGATAGAGTGGCTGTCTCCAGGGCGGCCAATCAGGGCCTAGCAGACCCGTATAAAAGAAACTGCTGGGCTAGAGCCTGGCAGTTCTTCACAGGAGCTTCACCCAGATGGTTCTATAGCCTGACTGGGAGAACTGCAGCACTATGGACAGCTCCAAGTACAAGCTGGGGTGAGGCCCAGGTCCAGTGGCCCAAGACTGGCCACAAGCTCAATACCAGAACTGATTGCACCATGGACAGGGCTAATGAGATCCTAGCTTCTGAACCTTGACAAGGCCAGACAGGGCAGCATCTGGGGTGGGGAAGAGACCCAGGGAGCAAAGAAGTACTAGATGGCCAGGCAAAGAGCTTATCCCTCCTCAGCCACAGAGGGGTGCTCACAAGCGGGCGGACCCTGTTACAGTGAGAGATCAGTTCTGTTACCATAAAGTTTCTCTTTTCCTCTCCTCTCCCAGTCTTCCGGAGGTGCGGATCTCAGACAACGGCCCATACGAGTGCCACGTGGGCATTTACGACAGAGCTACCCGGGAGAAAGTGGTCCTGGCCTCCGGCAACATATTCCTGAATGTGATGTGTAAGTGAACGCCTTATCCTGGGTGGGAGGGGGCAGGGAGGGGATCTGTGGGGAAGAGGGGGCTTGGAAAGGAAAAAGTCCTGCTCTGAAATCTCTGCACACACCCGATGGGAAGCCGGGAGTTGGAATGCTCTTCTGGAACCGCTGGCAAGGCTGTAGGGACCATTAACCAGCTCCCAGCATGCAGTGTGCATCCCAGGCATGAACGCGGCCGAAACAAGGGAAAGAATACAATGCGGGGTTGGGGACATAACAGAAATGGAGCTTCACTGCATGACAAACTCCATTGGGGTGTGACTTCTCCCATAGCGGTCCCTGCATGTGTGCTATTCTGTGCACTGTTGTACTTCCCAAGAGGAAGGAAACTCCTGCACTAATGCAAATACAAATTGAAGGACTGGGTCATAAGAAATCTGGCGAGGGTCAACAAGGACAAGTGCAGAGTCCTGCCCTTGGGATGGAAGAATCCCAAGCATTGTTACCGGCAGGGGACTGACTGGGGATTACAGTGGCTGAGAAGGTGGCTAGGAGTCAATAGAGTGCCAAGAAGGCTAATGATGTATTGGGCTTCATTAGGAGAACCATTGCCGGCAGATCTAGAGAAGTGATTATTCCCCTTTATTCAGCACTGGGGAGGCCACCTCTTGAGTGTTGTGTCCAATCATCAGCACTGGGGAGGCCACCTCTTGAGTGTTCTGTCCAATCAGAGCCCCCCATTACGGAAAGGATGTGGACTCATTGGAGAGGGTCCAGCAGAAATCAATAAAAATGACGAGAGGGCTGGAACGGAACACATGACTTACAAGGAGAGGCTGAGGGATTTGGGCTCACTTAACCTACAAAAGAGAAAACCAAGGGGGGATTTGATAACAGCCTTCAACTCCCTGAAGGGGGGTTTCAAAGAGAGTGGAGAGAGGCTGTTCTCAGTGGTGACAGATGACAGAATTAGGAGCAATGGTCTCAAGTTGCAGGAGAGAGGCTTAGGTTGGATATTAGGAAAAACTATTTCCCTAGGTGGGTGGGGAAGATCTGGGATGGGTTCCCTAGGGAGTGGATGGAATCTCCATCCCTAGAGGTTTTTAAGTCCTGGCTGGGATGATTGAGTTGGGGTTGGTCCTGCTTTGGGCAGGGGTTGGACTCATTGATTCCAGGGGTCTCTTCCAACCTACAATTCTAGGGTTCTATGATAACGCAGTCTCCGATCCCTCTGCTCTTGCTCCCAATGCATCCCCAGGAGAGTTGAAGTCCATGTCTCTTATAGCTTCGTGGCGTCACTGAGTACAGAGCCCAGGAGAAAGGAGCTGGCCTGGGGATGCTTGACGTGGCCAGGTTTATCCTGCTTGACTGATGTGGCCAAGATGGTTGTCTCTCTGCATATAGTAATTGCAGGCAGCATGGAAAACGTTCCAGTCTTTTCCGGGGCAGTCACAAAGAGAGCAGAGGTTGGTTGCAGCGATAATGCTGAGCAGCTCGGCAGGGCTCAGTGCGCCCCAGGGAAGTAAGGAGCTGAAGCGTTGGCTGCCCCATTGCAGGACAGAGTGAGGGAGCAGCCACTTGAGCATCTGCTGGGGGGGTGTTTGTGGTTCCTGGTCTTTCCTCTGGGATGGCAGCAATCGCTGCGTGGAGAAGAGAGGAGACAGCAGGAGAATGCAGCTTCTCTGCAGCACGTCATTAGGCAGGGCACCAGGCGGGAGGGGAAAGTTCTCACAGGGTTTTTAGGGGGGGAATTGCAGCTCACCGCCCCCTTCCTGCACAGGCACCGTCTCCCAGCAGGAGCCTGCTCAAGCAATCTAGTCCATGCCGCTGCCTTTGCGGAGGAGCCGCTGTGAGCCTGGTAGAGTTCAGGAGCTAAGCAGGGTCAGGCAAGATCACTGCTTGAGAGGACAGGCCCCGGAGGAACAACTAAGCCATGGTGCTGATTGGGAAGTGGCTCCTTTCCCTCTGAGCGGCGCTGAACGAACGCCCCTGAATGGTGGTGGGGAGCTGCCGCTCTGCGTGGGAGGCGCTGCATGTCAGCCCCGACCGGCTGGGGGTATCAGAGGGTCCATGGCACCACTTGCGTCTTAGGGTCCATGCTGACTAATTATCTATCTCCTGCCAGCCTCAGCCCCTGCCACCTCTGAGGGCTGCAGCCTCTTCCCTCCCTACCCGTAGTGGGTCTGTCAGTCATTGCCCCCAAAGGCCGCCACGGAATTCAGGGCCCTGTTGTGCCACGGGCTGTACAGACACCTGTACTAGGGTGTGTCTAGACTACGGGGGTTTTTCGAAAAAAACAGCCTTTCTTCGGAAAAACTTCCCCTGCGTCTAGACTGCCGCCGCGTTCTTTCAAAATTAAATGGAAAGAACGCGGCGGTTTTTTCGACCATGGTAAACCTCTTTTTACGAGGAAGAACGCCTTTTTTCGAAAGTGCTCTTTTGAAAAAAGGCATTCTTGAATGCAAACAGGGCTTTTTCGAAAGAGAGCATCCAGACTGCCTGGGTGCTGTCTTTTGAAAAAGTGGCTCACTTTTTCGAAAGAAGTGGTTGCAGTCTAGACGCTCTCTTTCGAAAGAGGCTTGTAGTTTAGACGGACCCTTGGGCTGTGTCTAGACTACATGGCTCCATCGACGGAGCCATGTAGTCTAGACACAGCCCAAGGGTCCGTCTAAACTACAAGCCTCTTTCGAAAGAGAGCGTCTAGACTGCAACCACTTCTTTCGAAAAAGTGAGCCACTTTTTCAAAAGACAGCACCCAGGCAGTCTGGATGCTCTCTTTCGAAAAAGCCCTGTTTGCATTCAAGAATGCCTTTTTTCAAAAGAGCACTTTCGAAAAAAGGCGTTCTTCCTCGTAAAAAGAGGTTTACCATGGTCGAAAAAACCGCCGCGTTCTTTCAAAATTAAATGGAAAGAACGCGGCGGTTTTTTCGACCATGGTGAACCTCTTTTTACGAGGAAGAACGCCTTTTTTCGAAAGTGCTCTTTTGAAAAAAGGCATTCTTGAATGCAAACAGGGCTTTTTCGAAAGAGAGCATCCAGACTGCCTGGGTGCTGTCTTTTGAAAAAGTGGCTCACTTTTTCGAAAGAAGTGGTTGCAGTCTAGACGCTCTCTTTCGAAAGAGGCTTGTAGTTTAGACGGACCCTTGGGCTGTGTCTAGACTACATGGCTCCATCGACGGAGCCATGTAGTCTAGACACAGCCGTAGTGAGAGACAGTTGCTGCCCTGGAGAACTTAGTCTAAAACTCTAAATAGACAGCACAGAGAAAAGAGGGGAGGGGAAACTGAGGCAGTGACATGTCTAGGGTGGCTTGCCTAGGCTAAGCCTAACTGCAGTCACTGGAAGGTCCTACCTGGCAGGTAAGTATAGCCAGTCCTGCCTCACCCAGCTCTGTGGGAAGAAGGGTGTATAGTAGAACCTCAGAGTTATGAACAGCACAGTTACAAACTCATTTGGACCTGGACATACGCAATCAGAAAGCTGCAGAGACCCCACCTCTGGGGAAAAAAAACCCAGATACAGGATACTGTGTCAAATATAAACCACTTAAAAGAAAGGGAAAGTTTAAAAAAATTAACAAGGTAGGGAAACGGTTTCTGTCTTTCAATTCAGATGGTTGAAAGTCGGGTTTTTCTTCTGCATAGTAAAATTTCAGAGTCGTATTGAGCCAATGTTCAGTTGTAAACTTTGGAAAGAACATCTAAACCCTTTGTTTAGCGTTACCAGCCCTCCCGAGTTACGAAGCATCTCGCTTTCCAACGTGTGTGGAATTCTGTGGCTCTGCTGTGGTTCTTAGTGCTGAACGATGGGGGAGGGAAAGATTCTGGGATGTTGACCATAGCTCTCTTGTCGTTACCACATCCTGCATGCTTGGGATCCAGCAGGCACAAAAAATCAGTCCACTTGTCCGGAGCTCTCCTGCCCGACGGGCGGTCACTTAGCAAACTGGTACCAAAGAGCAAACAGGTTCTTGACTGAGCTCCTGTGCCTGCCTGAAATTGGCATGGGGTCTGGGCATGCGGAAGTCTCTGCTGTCAGCTTTTGGGGATGGTTCATTTTCTATATCTCAGTAGGCACAGCTTTACCCGTGGTGCTTCCCGGTCTGTAGTGACCTGTAAGTGTGTTGCCTGAAGCAACCTATCTCCTAACTAAGCTGCAGGGAAATGGAAGAACCGATACATGTCTCAAATAAAACAGTAATGACCAGAGGGGACAGACATTTCTTGGCCATTAATGAGCAACTGGAGGAATTTGACCAGAAATCGTTCTTATGTAATGATAGAAAAAGGCAAAAAAAAAAATAATTACCATGTGTGTTAAGAAGTTATTAGATCAACAGCTTGTTGCCATGGCGACGTCGGCTCCATGCACGGCACTGGCTGTTCTTAGCAGTGACAGATTGGTACGGTGGTGATCAGCCCCCAGATGTGCACCTTCTGGGTGTTGTTTTGGCTTCCCCATTCGCTCTGCAACAACGCTTCTTGGACCCAAACTAAAGATCCTTGTGGTGCCCAAAAATCCTGTGGGGTTTGCTCATCACATGGTTTACCTGCAGAATGATTGTGGTGTGAAAGTAGGGATGGGGAGGTGCTGAACCTTCAGAACCAGGGGCTTGGATTTTCCCCTGTTAGAGAGGGGGAGACAGCTTAGAAAGCTGGCGTCTGAGTCTGAACTTTCGCCCCCTCTCCTCCCACCCACGCTTGGGCTGCCGACTCCTGCTGCCAGTCCTTTCCCCACCCCCCACACGGGATCCTGCTTCATTGGTTAACCAGTTAACTGATTAACTGGGGCTTTACATCCCTACCTCAGCATGCAGCGTGAACAGCCAAATGCAGAGCGGACTCGGAAATGCGTCTCAGAAACTCAAGGCTCCTTCAAGTGCATCCATATTGGGAATGACCAACAACGTTGAGTTCTTTCAGCAGCAGCTCGTGAAGCTGCTCCATATTGTTGCCCCTAGATTGGGGGACTAAGATCCAGGGAGGGGAAGTGAATGCCATGAGGTCGCACAGCAGTAAAGCTGA